CGAGATACATGTACGTATGGTACATTGTATCTACTCCGGCATCTCGTCACTTACAACCCCAATCAAATACATAAAATGTGTATTGTGTAAGACAGAGGTACATGTAGACCAGCCGTGGAAATCAGATTAAAGTTTTTTTGTTCCCCAGTGTAAATTATGTACAACACCGACCCTGGATGTCGTCAATTATGACATACAAACCTTAGAGTGAACATGAATGGTGTTAATGTAAACCAGTATACCTTGTTTATATGTATGCGATACCCTACAGCCTAGAGATCAACACGTTACACAAAGAAAACTCATTATTTAGTATCATTAAGAAATTTACTTACGTGTTTCTCCGTCACTTAAATCTGTTCCGAGTCGACGTAATTTGTCAGTGCCTACAATATATCGCACATATCTATCCGGTTAAGATGCAATAAAAGTGGTTAAATCTTGCTCACTAGTTGAAAATTGATCAACTTCCGGTATCAAAATGAATAACTAGACAACCCTATGTATTTTTACGTATTTGTTCAAATATGTTGTTTCAGCATTAAATTTTTGTGAACCGCAAGAAGATACTTTGGCTCAGGTGCTCCATTTCCTTTATTATATTGATTTTAATTGCATTGCCAGAGCACTGACGCTCTAGGTACACTGGACGTAGGGTTATAGAGTTAGTTTAAAATATTGCTTAACACTATAAGTTTTAGTTGTGAAAACTTTGATGATTGATGATTGATGATTGATGATGATGATGATGATGATGTGCGAGTTAGTGTGAGTGTTTCCTTGGGTTTGTGCGAGTGTCTTTGATGATGATGATGATGATGATGATGATGAGAGAGATAACTTGAGGTTACAGTGAAATTACATAAACAACAAATTGATTAACATTCATGAAAATATCAATTAGAAAAGTATCATAGATTATTTCTCATTCTTGTCCTGTCAAAGATTGGGTGTTATTTCTAGCAGCTTATTCCATTAAGATTGCTAACATTACTGTTTTGAAAATAATAAAACAATTGTAGCCGTTGACTTCGGTCGATACCTGGATTTATCGACACGAGAAAAGATATATTGACCTCGGACTGCGTCCTCTGTTAATATATCTTTTCTCGGGTCGATAAATCCAGGTATCGACCTCTGCCAAAGGCTATAATTGAATGATAGTATTGCTTTGCATTATTTGGTTTGGTTTGCATTAAAACGATAATATAAGAGCGATTGACGAGTTAATCCTTTTAATCGAGGACAAACGTATTCTATGTAGTGTTTACAGCAGCTTGCTCAAACATTATAACAGTTCAGCTAAATCAGTTTCCTAAATGCCAAGTGCATAATGTTCTAATATAGTATGTCTTCGCTCGAACCTTAACAAAATATAGTCACTTCGTCAAAGTGCTACTGTAAAGATCAAAATATGTTCTTTAATTGTTCCGAAACCTATGTAGAATAAAAAGTATATCAAAATTGGTAAGGTACTTATAAAAACTGAATAACGTCACAAATGTCAACCGTTTGGTTACTGTGGAAAATTGTTTAACTCTGCTTTAATGTTCCGAAATGTATGCAAAGGCAGAACTACGTCTTTTTCTGTAAAGCGTTCAATAACATTACAAATGCAGTTTTCGTTTGTTACAGCAAATACCTTATTCTTAAACTAGTAGTCAAAATACCCGTGCTAGAATACATAATAGTAGTCCACAAGCAAAGGCAATAACCTTGGTACGTAAAAGAATCACTAAAAATAAAAATAAACTCTTGCATGTAGCATAGTGACAGCACATAGTCGAGTGTCTAGACGGATAGACCCTATAGCGGTAACACAGTTAGATCTCTTTCAATCATAAACCTATTACTCACATAGGGATTGAATGATTTTTGTTCATGTACATTGCGGCAATGAATAGCAGTAGCTGGATCTACATATCCTGTGGAGCGCGTTAGCGCTATTCAATTCATATATTTACGTTAGGATGAACTAAAAGAAAACAATATACCACACTTTTTGTAAATTTGGAATTTTTTAATATCAGTATCGGACAGAAAACCATAAAAAAGGAACAGCCGGAACTCCAGCCTACACACAAACTTCAAATGTTCGATTTCTGTTTCTTCCGCCGATCAGCTGATTTTGTTAAAAAGATTTTTTTTTTATCTAGAATCTAATAATAATAAACACTTAATCTTCCTTTAATTTTTGACAGCTGATCTTATTGGATATTGTTTTGTTTTGCAATATGAACACCGCATATTATATATTTAAAAAAGTTTATGTCTGCACTATTTCAAATCATCGCTCACCATAGTAACCATCCAGGTCACTCGCCGGCCGAGCACCCGTCGGCAGTAGGCATAAAGCTCTTTTGAAGTTAAATGTACAGCCGTTGAATGTGCTGTTCACCAAAACACCTGCAGCTGTAATTGATGATAGGCTGGTGGATGAAGTGCCCTGTGTCATAACAAATTTCTCTTAGTTCAATGTGCAAGTTGATGTCACGGGGATTACCCAGCCGGACGGTTGGTTGTTAAAAAGTTTGTGACCACGAGGAATATTATAAGTGTTTTTTAAAATTTCAAATTAGAAATAATAATAATTAATAACAATGGTGCACCATTTATGATTTTTGTAATATTTACCATTATTTCTGGCAACTACGTCATCTTAGAGAAGGGGAAATAACTCTTCTCAGAAACGGTCCTATGCGTAGTAATATGAAGTGGTCATTGTGTGTGAAATCAGCTGACTGGTTGCACGAGAATCGTTGAACTCATAGTGTATTCATAGTCAACATGTTATGGCAGCTGTTTTCAGTTTGAAGATTCATGTACAGAACACACACCAAGAATGTAAATATAAGGCCATATATATATGTAGCCACAGCAAGAGCAATGCAAACACACATGTGTGAGTGTTCAATACCATCCCATATTTACTCTATAGCGGTAACACAGTTAAATCTCTTTCAACCATAAACCTATTACATGTACTCACAAGGCCATATACGTAGCCACAACAAGTGCAATGTAAACACACATGTGTGGGTGTTCAATACCATCCCATATTTCTTTAGTCCTATTTATCACTATACACGATCACATGAATGTGTAGGACGTTTTTGAGAGTTGAAAATCGACACAGGGTGCGAGACGAATTTGATTAGCGTAGTAGATTAAATTAAACTCAGTCCAAATGTCGATGTCGAAAAGAGCGACCAAATTCGGAGAATGACACCGTATAAGCTACTAGTATTACAAGTTATCATATAGCCATTTTAAAAATCCTACCCCGTATCAACCCGAAATCTTCCTACAGTATTAGCCCTGACCCTAGCCCAAAAGGCTGATATAAGTATAGGGCTTGTATCATGTATCATAACCTTTTCCTCGTATTCTTCAAGTTGCAGATAGTTTAGTACAAGCTCAAAATGATTACATGTATCATTAACACAAATCGATTGTGACTGGAATGTGTTGAACCGACGGAAAACAAATATACGCATGCCAGACAAGTATGTGTTCGATGCAGGATATTGCACATGAACAGCTAGCAATATCAAATAATTATGAAAACAACCCTTTTCCGGACATGTATTTAAATAATGTTGTAATTTCGTGAGAGTGAAGTTGCAACTCCTCAGAATCCTGGTAATTATGTATATTTTGTGTTGTTACATGCAAAATATATGCTGGGTTTGCAAACGAGTTATATAACATCCACTATTGAAACCAAACCCGTTAGTGAAACCCGGCTCACACTAGTGGGTGCAACAAGTAGTGTAACTCTGGTTATCGGGACTATCATACCTAGGGAATAGAAAGACTACTGAATCAAACCAATTCTTCTCCAATATGTCTCATCTCATGCGATATCTTCAAACTGATGACAGGAAAGGCCATGATGTTGTCATTCAACACTTTCAGGTGTCGGTTAATAACTCAATATGGAAAACATGGCATCTTATTGATTTATTTTTGAAGTGAACCAACGTCGTAATTTCATTTTAACTTTTCTAACTCTTCTACTTTCTTTGCTAATTATATCTCAACCTATAACAACTTTCTTATCTTGAAATTTCCTTTTACAGATTGTAACATCGCTGTTTCTCCTAAATACTAATTAATATGCCGTAGTTGATACCATATGGACGGTTTCCCCCCGAATATCACAATTGCGGTGATAGATTTGGTTTGGTTTCATTTTGTTTAACGTCCTATTAACACCTTATACTGACAACGGGTGAATCAGTTGTTGCATTCGACTAAATGCTGAACGTTAAGCGGGGAATAGCATCTACCATTTTTAAGGACTTTGGTATGTACCGGCCTGAGGACAGAACCCATTGCCTTCCTCACCTTGGCGAACGCTCAAAATTAAGGCCATAATGGAGGTGTTGCCAAGCAAGGCACTAGGAAATAAAAGGTTCCTAGAAGTAGAATGGAAAAGATAAAGGTTCCAAATATTGCAATGGGTGCAGCAGATTTATTTTGGTCGCTTTTGTGTCCCCAAAAAGAGGACAAAAGAGAAAAAAAATCCCCATGTGATATATATATACATGCAAAGAAGTGATACTTGCTGTTATTAAAGCGAATAAACACCTACCCCCGGGAACAGTTAACAAAGTGTTTCAGGCTTGGACAAAAATAGTCTCACATCCTGAAAGGACAGGGTATTTAAATTTGGCCCTCGGTTTTCTCGTGTGTCGCTCGATAAATTAAATCATTGTAAGTAAACTGTTTGGCTGATCAGACCAGTACACCTCACCCCGTCGTACCACACTTATCACACAAACACAATAGCATAAAAGCTCATACTGCTCACCAACGCTGTAAATCGTCTGAGAAAGATCGTCTTGTGATATATCAATGAATTCCACTACCCGGGTCAGTTATTACGTAACTAGGTCTGTAGACACTTTAGTTGAGCGGTTAGTTGCATTATCATGTGATCATGATGCAAGGTTATAAAATAGACCGTTGTAAGGTTCACGTGATGTCATATACAGTATAAAAGAATCAACTGACGCATGAGCGTTACAGTCAGGTTTTCAGCACAAGACACAGCAGACGACAAAATGGATATTCTCGGTGTAGCCGTGCCTATCTGGGTCATTCTTTTGCTGGTAGCCATCCTAATTTATACATTGTAAGTATAAATCTGATATTGAAAACTAATATAGTTTTAATGCTTATGTACAATACGTTGACAATTAGTACTCTATTAATTTACTTGCTGTATATGAATTTATGGAAGAATTCAGCAGACGACAAAATGGATATTCTCGGTGTAGCCGTGCCTATCTGGGTCATTCTCTTGCTGGTAGCCATCTCAATTTTAAATTGTAAGTTCACTATGTATATCAGCTTGTGCATATAAATCTGATATTGAAAATTAAGATAGTTTTAATGCTTATGTACAATACGTTAAAAATAAGTACTCTATTAATTTACTTGCTGTACATGAATTTAGCGAAGAATTTACCCATGGTTACATGCAGATAGCTTTCATATGATTGTGTTTTTCATATCTGCATATGTGAATGGAAAGTGTAGGGACAGGTTTTGTTGCATGTGACGTTTATAAATAACATATTGTTCCTGATATGGGGTATGTGAACCATCACTATTCTTCGTACATTGTGTTATATGCAACGTGTATTCTGAAGTGAGGGATATAATCATGTTGGTTGTTTTATAGTACTGTGTGTTCGCGTATTTATACATTGAACATCAAGCGGAAGGTGTGATTCCCCGATCGGAGGTAAAAAGGTATTGGGTCACCTGCCCGATCGCTTGGGTATTCTCCGGGTACTCCGGTTTCCTCCCACATTTAAGACAGTCCATGCGCGCTAACATCCGGTCTTAATACGTATACATTCTTCTATTATTCCCATAAACCTGTTTGCGTTGTTTACCGATTCGTGTATATGATCATTAAATTTAAGTTTGTTATCTGTGATTACTCCGAGCTCCTTTTCATTATTAGGGTTTTCCAAAATTACTTGTATCCTCCCTTCATTGGTGTCTTTGCGTAAATAAAGCGGCGCGGTATTAATATGTTTTCATAAGGAAAGTACTTTACATTTTTCCGGGTTAAATTTCAACATTCAAGTATCTGACCATATTTTATAATAGTTATAAAGTTTATATTTGGAATTCGGATTATAAAACTCAATCTAAAGTCTTGTGTTTAAAACATAATTGATTTTTTTCAGAGGTACATAATGTTTGTCCACATATTTGATACACATTTACAGTGACAATACAAATCGCGAAATATGTTACTTTACCTTGCAATGAAGATACGAACAAATAAGTATACAAAGTTAAATATAGTATTTATCTTATTAAATTATTAAAACTATTCACCATATACATCCTTATTGTAGCATGATGAGCCGTGACTTTTTAACGTTCAAGCGGATGGGTATACCCGGACCGACACCTCTACCAATCGTCGGTAACGTGATAGCTTTGGCGTCTAAGGTACGACACTTGATAGGGATTAAACGACCGAAAAACAAATATGTTTACATTTTCTGTAAAGTTAGATTTTTCTCTGTTGGAATTCACAGGGTTGAAGCGAACATCATACAGAACATGCCTTCAGGATATGTCTCTGCATCGTTCAACATGCACTGATAAATTTAGCCGAATGTTTGTATAATTTGTATTCCGTGAATAAAAAGACTTAAATGTAGATATTTTATTTATTTATAGTTTCATAAAGTGATTGAACTGATGTGAAGTTTTGCGGTTATCTGTGAATAAGTTGTAGACCTCTGTTGTCTCTATAAAAATAAGTGTGTTTCAGAAGACGTTTTGTTTCCTGGCATTCAACAGACAAAGTGTTTAAAAAGGTGTTTGGGTTCACAATTTTCTGTGAATAAAATAAGTGCTTGGAACATGTATACGTATGTTTCTTTATATGGCAAGGATTAAGCGTTTTAACAAATGATACATTTCGCAGTATTTTGTGAATTACAGTCATCACGAATCGTCAAAACAATATGAACTGCTAGACTCAGTTTCTGTCAACTCGAGTACAGTCGTTTGAAACATCCTTCTTGTCATTGGTCCGATGTTAAACACCTTTGCATATTTCTAAAAGAAACAACAAAAAAACATCCATGGATACAATGACTTTGAAATAAAAAGTAGTGTTGACGATTCTCTTCTTCATGATAAGATTGAATGGTACAGTGTAGCGCTTTAGGGTAACAGCATTTTTTAACATATTTTATATTATGTCGACTACACCGTCATACTTAAGCAAGAATATTTTGTGTATCTCCCGTTAAATTTACTTTACTGTATGCATGAATCTATATTTATACTTTATACATCCTTGTATTTCGTGTTTCATGCGTATTACCTTCCTTTCATTTTTTCCAGGGTATTCGCGCGTTTGACCTTAACGCACTTAACAAGTATGGCAAGGTGTATGGGTATGTCTTTTAAGTTCAATTACAACTTTTTATCAGAAGGATTGAAACTTTCTTAAACGACACAAAAGACATGATGAGCATAGGTATTTGGTATGGGTTTGTAAACGTTTATCCCCCATACAAATATTGATAAATTAGCATTCATTTTCTTACATATTTTACCCCAGTGTGAAGTTGGTAACTGATACAATGCTAAGCCAGTCCACTATGACTGTCGCATTATGATCGATTTTCTGTTTCTTGAATGCAGGTTTTATCTGTTGTGTTAATTGTTTCCTGTCCTTTTTAGACATTTCGACGGGTTCGCTGCAAATCTAGTGGTAGCAGACAAAGAGATGCTGAGGGAAATACTGGTGAAGCAGTTTAATAACTTCTCAGATAGATTTGTAAGTAGTCGAGTATCATTAAAGGAAATATAACGTTTGTAGACAATCAAACATCGCATTAAAGAAACTACAAAGTTATAGCAAGCAGTTTCATTACATAGCTGGGAAAGACAATGCAATTTCGATTTGTGAGCACATTAAAAACCGTTGTCAAGACAAAGTTACTGTGAAATCGAGGAAAATAATTACCGTACGTTGTGCGAAATGTTTTGGGATTTGTAGGGCACTCTCTGGCCCTACATTGTATTCATGTTTTTATATATTTATGTATATATTTTTTTGTTATGGATAAACGAATGTGAATATATAGATATGATCCTATTAGACGTCTTTATTTGTTTTAGTTTTAATAACATGCTCTTAGTTGAACGCAGTGTTACCACTATGATGTTATTTGATAGTCCCTTGAAGAATTCAGTGGAGACTTGAGACATGGACTGACGGATGTAAAGGGAGAACACTGGAAACAAAACAGGAGTACTATCACACCCACGTTTTCATCCGGAAAACTTCGCAAGGTTATATTTTATATCAAATGGTGCAGGGTTACTTGGATTTTCATTTTGAAATAAGTAGGCAGAACCATCCATTGACATTGACATGGCATTGCCACTATATAGGCTATTTGAAAGCTGTATCATTGATAGGACTTTACATATCATGCACCGCGAGACATAATTCTTAGCGTATTAATACAACACCGACCGGAACTACAATATCCAATATAAACAAGCAAGACGGCTGCTGAAATATCGCTTGGCATTGTGGGACATGACAATATAATTGTAATGTGTGTATTTTTTTTATATATATATATGGAAACAAACTTTTATTACAACAAAAACAAGTTTGGTCTGCAATATCGTACAAAATGCACATCTGTTGAAATCACCAATGCCGCAATGGTAACAATGTTAACACTCGGGCAATCTTTCAGAAATATCGTCTGTTACACTGCACTGGTCCACGGGGGTTACAAACGCTATCAGTATCACGCGTCTATTAGCCACAGTGTCCCCAGTTTCTGACGACATGTCAAATAACGCGGCTGTTGTAGAATCTACCGACTGTAGTCATGTTCCCATACAATCCAAAAATAAATTCACGCATGGATTCTTCATAAATCGAACTTTTCTCTCTGCTCATTCAACTTCCAAAAATAACTCCCTCGTGGAGGGTAAGGTCGGATTACGGTGTATTTATCCACGCGAGAATATTTTTCCGGGGAAAAATAGAAACAATTTAGAATCTTACTTCCAGCTCAGATTTCTATTAATAAACTTAAATCACCCTATATACATATAATACGCCATTGTATTTATACTGAATTGTGAATGGAATTGAAGTGTTTGTTAAAATTTCATAGTACTACTTTGTTTGCCAATCAGCACGCGACAACACGCTGTTCCAACTATTGAACGAATTTGTGATGACTGTCGATAAGGCGGGAATTTTAAATCTTAAATATAAATTGTAAGTTCAAATAGAACACAAGAGGTAGAGAAAAGCGTAGATATAAGTATTGAAGTTTTTTTGTATGGTATTTATGAGCGCGTATTATGATGTGTGCTGTGTCATTCAAATAGGTCATAAATACCATACAAACACCGTTCGATGCTTGAGTATATCATTCGTTATTGTATTATTTTGTTTCTAAATGAATGTGAGCACCTATCAAATTTGCACTAATACATTTTGTTAAATGACATAAAACATAAGGTTTATTCATATAGATGGTGCCCCTTATTCAGAAAGCGTGTGACACGCTCATGAAAACTTCCCGGAAGCTTATAAAGAGTGGAGACGATGGCCAAGTGGAAATGAAAAGGTAATATCAACCCCTTATATATCTGTCCAGTTGATAATTAAATAACAAGTAATATAATATGCCTTATGGCAAACATACAAGAACAAAAATACTACATTGTCAATGTTATCAAATATCAAACATGTGAAGCAAAGATATACCACATGACAAAACTACATCAAACGGCTCACATACATAAAGAAACGACCCCGTTTCTCGCCTTTGTTGAAGAAGAAGACACTTGCCCTTCTGGAACACCTGGTCTTATCAAAATTCACCGTGTCCTTTCAAATGGTCTCCATCTAAATCATTCGTTAGATCAGATGTTGGCAAAATTAATCGATCTAGTTCGAATAAAGGTTTTACTGACACTTTTGTATAATCTTTTTTTTTCAATATTAACTCATTTCAAACATTATAACAGCATTCTTTTAAAATGTGTTATGCAATACCCTCACAGATATAGTAGTGTGTCTGATTTACAAATAAGTGTTTGGCTTGCTATTATTTTTGTTGCTATTTTCAAACATTTCTGTTTTTTCTTTCGTGCAGATTATTTGGGGGATTTTCAATGGATGTCATCAGTTCCACGGCTTTCGGTATTCAGGTGGATTCCCAGAGTAACCCGGATGACCTTTTTGTAAAACACGCTCAGAAGATGTTTGACTTTTCGGTTACCAATCCTTATATGCTCTTTATGAGTACGTACAAATTAGATTAAGGATGCCCACACTGGCACTGTCATTTCTCATCGAGTCCCCATGATGTTTTGTACTCTCATGTGTGTTTATAAAATGACGGCACAAATTTGTTAATTGTACCAGTACGATTTTGTAACTGATACATTTTCCAGTAATAAATGACATCATGAGCCTCATCTAAGACGCTAGGGGTCTAAACGGTGGAAATCGAAACGGGTCTAAAACCATTTGATGCTATGTAATACAAATATAAGGGAAATACTGGTTACTGCTCAAAAGATGAGTGTTGCCGTGGGGACTAAGAAATGTACAAATGGAGGGTGCAATCGTGAGAATAATTGCGTTACTAGTGGACAAGGTATTTACTGAGAGTGTTTGATTAAACGTTCTCTATATAAAAGAATATTGTCCATTCTTGTTCAACTTGTTTTTTCCCAAATTATTAAACTTAATTTATTGAAAATCTTATCATGACTGGAAACAAAAACGTTGCCAGTCCGTTATAGAACACAATGAAATGACAATATTGGTTCCTAAATTTGATGAGGCAAACACTATAGACTGTTCTTAATCCACCGCTGTCCTCGATATGTTCTTTTAGGACAGATAGAGACGACTTACTAATGAGCTGTATGGTAAAAGTTAAGAATTCTTATTTCCTATCATATCTTTTCTCTTTTCCTGATAAAAGTATCTCTGCTTCTCCTTCTCATGGCGTTTATATGTCGCAGTTGTTTCGATTGTCAAACGCCTGCTAATACTATCACGATTTCCATGATGGATCTCGACAGCTGAACTGACTTGTTATTCTACCTTTTCTCTAATTTACAGTGTACTTGCCGGCGTTAAAACCTCTGTTTCTGAAACTTGGTGTGTGCGTCTTCCCACGGGATAGTATGGCCTACTTTCGAAAACTTACTTATCAGCTGCTGGATGAAAGGAGAAGAAACAAGGAGGTAGGTCAATATTTTCTTCTGGTTTGTACATTTTAGAATTTTAGAAAGGTTCATACAGGACAGCCATTTCAATAATATAGGTGACGTTTCATTGAAACAGTATGTACTCTACCGACGTCATCAATCATTTTAGAAAAGTTTTCACAAGATAATTCGAGTTCAAAACATGGTGTTCTCACTTACCCACTATAAGTCAATAGTGTCTGCTAAAGACCTGGAAACATTGTAACAATTGACTCCAGTATGGTCCACAATAGATCTCAGTGTGGGTGTTGTACATCAATAGTCTACAGTACATTCTAGGGTTGTATTCCACAGTGGGATACAGGTATATTTATTGGAAATATGCCGCCGTGTATATTTTTCGAATAGGAGGGCTATGAGGTGCATTTTAAACGTTTTTGCTTGATTGATCTGATGCTTTTCATCCGTTTTGTTGATCTGTAGCATGCTCACGACCTTGCGCTTATAATGGTATGTGTCAATAACAGCTGTTGTCGTGCCTTTAACCTTTTCTTGGTTAAAATGTAAACAGATAAGGCGGTTTTAAAAATGTCGACCGACATTGAGTCACTCAAGATTTAAAATAGGTTATTGAAGAATTATTTCAAGATGACGGTCTACAGATAACTATGGCGTTATCATCCAACGATCTGTAGTCCTTAAATAATAAATGAATTTCTGTAAACAGGATATCCTCACTAAGTGACATCGCTATTGGTTTTTTGCTTTTTAGTATGGTCTTTACATATGGTTTAGCATGCTTTAGCTTTGTCTATTGCTGGGCTAAGTCTTAAAAAAAACACCATTCGTATATTAAAGGTCAGAGTTCAAATGATAGTTTAAGTCTTTCAACGTTTTGGCCTCTTCAACTCATGAGAGCTATTTAATCAGGTGGCATATGATCAATACTTAGTATGAGTTTGTGCACGTCGCACATGGCATTTATGATATACTCTTATGCAGTACTGTTGTAGGTAGATCGCAAGGATTTCCTCCAGTTGATGATCAATGCCCAGGAAGGTCGATTGGAACTTGGTGATGAAGATTCAGAAGAACAGGGCGGCAATTCGTCAAAACAAAATATCCGTGGTAATTGAAGTAGCTATTTTTAAATCAAAGTGACGAAATTTTGGCATTATATGAAATGGAAATGAAAATGATTAAAAGAATGTTTCCTTAAAGCATAGGAGGTATGCTCTTGTGCAACATGTAATGATATTGGTTTCAAATGATCTTTTGACCTATAATTTATATAAGGGGGATTTAAAAGTATCTCATTGGAACTGTTCATAGAAGCAAATACATCTTTATTCTAGGCCTAACATTTGATGAAATCGTGGGAAATGCAGAATTATTCTTTGCTGCTGGCTACGAAACGACGGCTTTGACACTTACCATGAATGCATACAACCTCGCTACGAACCCAGAATGTCAGGAAAGGCTACGTCAGGAAATTGTGGAAAAGATCGGGTCGGTAAGTCGTTATTTAAGATTAGGCATTAGCCACTATTGTATAGGGTTTTATGATAGAAAGACTGCCGTAGCATGGTTTTGGTAAACTGTTTATCAGCTGGACCATGTTTAAACGTCCTAACAACAGCCAGGATCATATGAAGACGTAGAAGAGTGAATTATGATTAATTATAATATAAAGAATATTGAATATTACAAATAATGAAAAATTAAATAACTGATATTCAACGCGGAGGAGAAACTTGTTGATGCTTTGGGTGTTTTCCTAAAGAACAGAAAAGGGAGGAAAGCACACAAACTGACGAAAACACGGATATCAAAAACTTATTGTACAGTATCTCACAACTACTAGAACAGACTTGGAAAATACAAGATTAAGCTCATAAAAAGGCCGTCGTTTCAAGAGATCTATAAAATATCGTTTACTAGCTCCAAAATCATGGTTGGAGTATTACAAATCGTGAATTTCACATTGATATGTTGAGAATGACATGGATATCAACAGTATTAGAAGAATACATATAAAGATTAAAATTGTGTTGTATTACCAAACAACTTTTTAAGTATACAAAGGGTAAACAGAATATTGTAGAAGCCCGAGTATCAAGTAGAACACGTTTAAATGATCAAATTTATGATATCTATAATGAATTAATGAACTTGTAAGTCACTCTTTTCCAAGCTTTCGGGCTTAGCCCTTCGATTAAATGTCACTGGACCTCTTTGTCACATCCATCTTGACAAACATTGCGTTCCCTATAGGAACATATGTTTATAGACAATTAGTATAATGAATTAGCATGGTGATATAGAAGTATCATATTTAAAGAGGAGAAACCTCGTCCTGTAAGGATCCCTTTACCGCTTACAAACTTACAAACACATCTTGTAGGACTTTCATGAGAATAAATCAAGATGAAATATAAAAAAAAAACCAATGTGTTCTTATCGTAGGAAATCAGCGGGTCTAGTCGAATCTCATACAGCACAATGTCAGATTATCTGTGTTACCGACAAATCTAACTGGCCAACGGGAGTCTGCTGGCCCAACTGTTCTTCAGTTATATCCAAAACCAAAATAAGGAAAGGTCACTGCATAAACGAAAGGAGGGGCGGAATTAATAGGGGAAAATGAGAGGTAAAGACAATTCCGGGTTTTAGTTCGAATATTGAGAGTGATCAAGAGGTATGACAAACTTTGAAGTTGTGAGATTTAAGATGGCTGATATACTTATTTTTATTTACAGTTTCAATTGTAATTGACTCAAAAACCTTTGTTGAGATTATAATTATTGTCATTATCAGTCGATAACGACAGTCATTCTCGTGCACGTAGTGATACATACACCATGTACATATGTGTACGTCAACAACCCGGGGGTTTCCATTGCTATTTTCAGAAGTAAACAGAAGTACATGGGATACCAGATTTGTACAACTCATTAGTGTATTCATGCAAAAGATACATTGTTTATATGTATACATACATTGTTGAAATTCATACATTCCGATGACGTCGCATTGTTTACAGCGCCTGCTGATTATTACCGACTGACAGGACGACTGGATTTTGTTTCTTCTACGTGGTTGTGTTCATTTACATACGTTCACGTTGATGACATAGTGTAAACAATACCCAGAAATACGATAGTAAATTCAATTTTGACAATAACGTTCGATATCGGCAATATTGCAGTGATATTTTTAACTCCACTCGATAAGGCTGGTAGAGTGGACTGGAAATCACAGAACGGGTTCGATACATTTACACGACCTTCATGTCATTTGCCTGTATAAATACTGATTGTTAGATCACAGCACACGAACTGAGTTTTGTAATGATTGAAGTTAAAATACAAATTATAAGATTACTTCGTGTGTTTGTGATTTTGTAGACACTATGCCTAGATACCGTTGCCGTGGAGTCTACAAAAAAAATTAGGAGAGTTCCAAAACTGCGAGCCGTTGGTGCCATATTAAGGCATTCCGGAATTAAAAGGGACATCTTTGTGTATTTAATATAACTGTTGAGATAAACTGGTAATGGAATGAAAACGATATGATTTTATTATAACAGTTTACGAGTGCGAGTGAAATATTTTACAAGTGCATCGCGTTTCGCAACTTTGCAAGTTGTGTTAAAAATAGCCACATAGAGCAACTTTGAAGTTAGAATTATCGCTAATGAGTTATGATCACATGTTTAAGAGCGAACATACAAACCAATGTGATGTTTATGTTAAAGATAAGCAGCCGATTTCGTTCGTATGAGTCCTAGTTTGGTCGTATCATGACACGGTGGCCTTCGAAGCGTGGCGCGAAGCGTAACCGTATCACACATTGGGCTTGAATGGAGCTGCTTGAAATCCTCCCGCGGGATATAAATTAAAAGAACGCGTTTTATGTTATATATAAGAAAAAGGCTATACATATCAGGATTAACTTTCTATTAAGTTTAGGTACTTTTATAGTCAAATCAATTAATTTTGGGTTCAATCAGGGTCAATTATCAATCACACAAAGAAAGGGCATAATTACATGTATACCTAAGGGAGATAAGCCTCGACAATATCTTAAAAATTGGAGACCAATTTCTTTACTTAATATTATTTATAAAATTGCATCAGGATCAATAGCTAGCAGAATAAAAACAGTTTTAAATAAAATAATTAAAACAGATCAAACAGGATTTATTGCAGGGCGCTATATTGGGGAAAACACTGGAATTGTATACGATATCATGCAATATGCAGAAAATAGGAATATAACTGGAATGTTGTTAATCATTGATTTTGAAAAAGCTTTTGACTCTGTTTCTTGGAAGTTTATTGATGAAGTTCTGGATTATTTTAATTTTTGGGAAGATATAAAAAAGTGGGTCAAAATTCTACAAAAAAGTCAAGTTCAGCTATTAATCAAGAGGGAAATTTGTCTCCATTTTTCGAAATTGAAAGAGGCTGTAGGCAGGGGGACCCCATCGCACCATACATATTTATAATGAGTGCTGAAATTTAAGCCATTAGAATAAGGAACAATAAAAATATAAAAGGTATTGATATTGATAATAGTCCTATTTTACTGTCTCAATATGCAGATGACACTTCACTGATTTTAGATGGAACAGAGAAATCACTAAAAGAATCAATTGATGAGCTAAAAACGTTTGCAAAAATATCTGGATTAAAAATAAATGTTTCTAAAACACAGGCTTTTTGGATTGGGAGTAAAAAATATAGTGATGAAGTTGTGTACCCTGATTTGAATATACAGTGTGGAAACCAAAAATTTATACTTTTAGGCATTGAGTTTCATGTTGACCTTCACCGAATACCTAAACTGAATTATGATAAAAAAAATAGTTAAGATAAAGGCCCTTATTAGAACTTGGGAAAGAAGAATTTTGACTCCAATAGGTAGATTCCATATCATAAAGGCACTATTAATTTCTCAGTTTAATCATCTCTTTATCTCTTTACCAAACCCAGATGAGAATTTCCTGAAAGAGTTAAACACAGAACTGTACTGTTTTTTATGGAAAAGTAAAATAGATAAAGTGAAAAGAGATATAACTGTTAAAAAATACATTGACGGAGGTCTAAAAATGTTACATGTAAAGTCTTTCATTGAATCTCTAAAGTTAACATGGTTAAGGAGACTCTATACAAGTCCAAGTAAATTGTAAATTATTCTAAGAACTTCTGTTGATGATCACATTTTGGCTAACTGTGGAACTGAGTATATTTCAATATGTCACAATAACTGTAAGAATTTATTTTGGAAGGATGTTTTTGATGGATAAACATGGCATGGATAAACTTATCAAATAAACATTATTCATATCAATCTCCAGATAAATTGGCCAAAACACCAGTATGGTATAATGTAATTAGAATAGATAATCAGAGTATTTTTTATCGGGATTGGTACAATAAAGAAATTATTATTATTAGCGATTTAATCAATAAAGACACTAATTTGTTTTACTCTTTTCAGGAATTTCAACAGTTCTTTGGTATAAATACAAACTTTCTTAATTACCAAGGACTTATTTCAGCTATTCGAAAACATATACAAGATTTACCATGTCCTATCTATCCTTTCATACCAATTAATCTAGAAATACTTTTCCGCAGTAAAAAAGGGACACAAGATTTTTATTATTTACTCAATAAAAATAATACAATATCAACTAGAAAAAAAAAATGGGATTAGGTTTTTAATTTTAATAAGGAAACATGGAAAAAAATATATAAAATGCCTTTTCATATAACCAAAAATTCAAAATTACAGTGGCTTCAATACAGAACCAATCAACACATTTTGACAACAAACTCATTCTTATTTAAGGCAGGAATAGCTGATATTCCTTATTATAACTCATGTAAAACTGATATTGAAACAATAGAACATATCTTATGGGAATGTGATAAGGTGCAGGTTATGTTACGAAATTTTGAGTTTTTAATAGATGCCTTAATGATCCCTTTTGCTTACAATAAGGAGACTTTTATCTTTGGACAATATAATCAAGATGGAATAAGAACACCAATAGACAGTACAATTATTTTGATTATGAAACAATATATTTATTCAGCAAGATGCCTACAAACCAATTTATCTATTAATGGTCTTAAAAAAGCAATCAAGGACAACTATTTTACATAAAAATATATTGCAACAGGTAAAGATGACAAATATAATAACACTTTCAAAAAAATTGGAAAAAATGGCAAAAGTTAATAAATATCTCCTGAATCTTCAATTTGCTGAACTGTATTAAAATGACAATCGATAATTGTGTGTGTGAAAGTGGAAGCGAGATTAGTGTGTGTGAGATTTTCAGCTATTGCAAATGTAATTTTCATTGTATAAAAAAAAATCTGAAAAATAAAACAAATACAAAAAATAAATAAAAGGTCGGACCTAGTAATCTGATGCTGCTTGCTTTCAGGCGAGCCTTGACAAAGCTTTGCAAGGCCTGCATAAACATTTGCAGGTACGCCAGGATTTATACCCGAAATTGTTACATTAATGAACGGTCAAATTGGTTGTTTCGCATAAACGAACAGGCCCCTGTGATAAATGTGTACCTCTCTGGCTATATGATATGAATTTTGTATATATATTATGCGATAAAGGACAATGTATGGGACTTTTATTATTTTTTAAGGTTCATATCACATCATATCAATTAACTATCGCAAATGCTACTTATAAGTTATTTATGCCATAGAACTAATAATCAGTCAAATTGTTGAAAACTTGATTGGATTCGATTACTATGTAGGCCTTTACCTGGGATGACCCATACAGCCACATTATGGCTTAATTCCAATGGGGTCCCTTTTTAGGAGTGTTTTGTTATTTGCTGTATTGATTAAATTAAAATAAGTAATATTGGATTGCTTGGATGCAACGTACCAAAGTCCTAGTTTAGGCTATCAGGTGATAACTACAATGGAACTCGGGTAAATTAATAATAATCGGCTTCGCTGATTGTTCAATTTACCCGAGTTCCATTGTAATTTGAAGCTATCACCCGATAACCTAAACTAAATAGAAAGTTAATTCTGAAATATTAGGCCAATTATCCCCTTCATTGCTTTGTGAAGGCGATACATAGAAGTTATACATCAAGGCGAACGTTCCATTGCCAAGACGATCCCAGATGACTTTTGATCGGTGTCAACCTTCACGCCTATCAGTTGAGTTCTATGGAGCGCATTTTAACTCTAACTTTGGGATGATAATCATAACTTTGCGACAGTACTTACAGTTAAAACTGGTTCATTTTCATAATGAAATATCAATCAATGTTGAATTATTTTAGGAAAAAATTGACACTGAGAACGTCACGAAACTTCAGTATCTCGACAAGTGTATTAATGAAACACTACGGATGTTCTCTCCGGCTTTGAGGTAAGTACATCTTTTAGGAGTCTGATAAACGATAGAAAGGATATGGAAGTTCTCTAAATAAAGCAGAAAGATTGTTACTATCACGAATTGTTTCAGAGAAAAATATCTATCTATGAATTTCTGGAAGAAGAATATTCGGAAAGTTATAATTTTCAGTGATACACGTTTTTGAGTTTGGCAGAATTGAATAAGGGTGCTGTTAATGTTAAATGTTGCAATAAAGTATTAGCCTTGTATGTTCCCGTCTGTCACTTGTCTCACACGTGCAGTATTCCCTAAACAAATTTGTTCCCGTCTGTCAAATGTCTCACGTGTGTAGTGTTTAGCAACCTAATTTGGTCTCGTCTGTCACCTGTCTCAAACGTTTAGTGTCCCCAATCTAATTTATTCCTGACTGTCACCTGTCTCAAACGTGTGGTGTTCCCAACCTAATTTGTTCCATCTGGCACCTGTGACAGCGTGTAGTGTTTCCCAATCTAGTTTGTTTCCGTATGTCACCTGTCTTACACGTGTAGTGTTTCCAAACCAAGTTGGTTCCCGTCAGTGACCTATCTCACACGTGCAGTGTTCCCAACATAGTTTGTTCCCGTATGTCACCTGTCTCACATGTGTAGTGTTTTCCAACGCAGTTTGTTCCCGTATGTCACCTGTCTCAAACGTGTAGTGTTTCCCAACCTAGTCTGTTCCCGTCTGTCACCTGTCTCACTCGTGTAGTGTCTCCAACCTAATTTGTTCCCGTATGTCACCTGTCTTACATGTGTAGTGTTCCCAACCTAGTTTGTTCCCGTCTGTCACCTGTCTCACATGTAAAGTTTCCCAAACCTGTTTGTTCCCGTCTGTCACATGACTCAAACGTGTAGTGTTCCCAACCCAGTTTATTCCCGTCTGTCACCTTTCTCAAACGTGTAGTGTTCCCAACAGAGTTTGTTCCCGTCTTTCACCTGTATTTCACATGTAGTGTTTCCAAACACAGTTTGTTCCCGTCTGTCACCTGTCTCAAACGTGTAGTGTTCCCAACTTAGTTTATTCCCGTCTGTCACCTGTCTCACTTGTGTAGTGTTATCCAACCCTGTTTGTTTCCGTCTTTCACCTGTATTTCACATGTAGTGTTTCCCAACCCAGTTTGTTCCCGTCTGTCACCCGTCTCAAACGTGTAGTGTTTCCCAACCCAGTTTGTTCCCGTCTGTCACCTGTCTCAAACGTGTTGTGTACCCAACCCAGTTTTTCCCCGTCTGTTACCTGTCTCACTCGTGTAGTGTTTCCAAACAAAACTGCCATACTTTAAAATATACCTAGCCATACATGTATATAGCGTTCTTTAACAGTTACACGGAACGTTAAAACAGCCTGATTGAATTATATAAAGGACTCTGCTTGGGCAGCTGTATTTTGTATGTGTGTAGTCCGGCTAAGACTGTCTGATAGATACATACACATTTGATTGTCTTGAAACTGATTTCTATGTCCCCCAATCGGAGTTGGTGACATATTGTTTACTCCGTTTCTTATCATTATTATTAAGTCCCAAAAACGAAGTTTAGGGACTTATTAATGTTCCTCCCTTTCTTTAAAATAGAAAGCCGCAAGTCATCTGGATGAAACTTCACTTATGGGCATATGTTGTTGTGCGTTCAAGTATTTAATTTTTCAGATCGTTGCCATAGCAACCACACGGCACGGAGGCTTCTGATTGGTCGAAATTTAGATGTTGTTCGAATATTTGTATATAGGGGTATTAGGGGACTGCGAAATCAACAGCATAGCTTTTGTTGTCATAGTATTCATATAGCAACCTCACGGAGGCTTTGGTCAAAAAACAGAATTGTTTGATTTTGATGAAAACTGGTAAATAGTGGTAAATTATTGTATTAGGAGACTGCGAATTCAACCGCATAGGTTTCGTTGCCACAGCAACCACACAGAGGCTTCTGATTGGTCGCAATTTATATACTGTTCAATGTTCAAATTTAATATGTACATTGTTGCTGTATTATGGCATTGCGATCCTTTTCTGATGTATCTTTGCGACTAGGGGGTAGTTTGGGGGACTTCAGCAATTGATTGTACGTTTTAACGTTTTAATTTAGATTATTTAAAAATAGATCAGAAACTATGGGAGGTCTTATGTTAGGAAATACAATTCAAAGTAGGTCATGATTATTATTTCTGCAGAATCGACAGAGTGTGTGTAAAAACGACAAAGGTCAAGGACATCACGATACCAGCCGGGATGATCGTGACTGTACCAGTATATGCGATTCATCATGATCCTGAAGTTTGGGAGAAACCCGATGTTTTCAATCCAGAGAGGTATTTTTTTAACCTGTGCATTAAGGAGGTCGTTCATTTGAACTTTTGAATAATAATACTCTTAATCTTTCATACAAATATCCAATATTCCTTCTGGTAGATGCCATTTAACTCTTATCCCTATCAACAATATACTTTTTCATATATACACCTGCTATTGCCTATTTTGATCTCGTTTTGCTTGTTGTGTGCGCTAAGAACACAGATAAGAAGTGACTTATGGACAACAACGAAGTGTCATCTTACGTTAGAAAAGTGAATTTTACCGGTCACATGCTTAATGACTGATTTAAACAATTATTTTGACTCATTTTATGCTGAGTAACAGATCACATGAAATGAACTATTCAATTTCACTTGATACATCTCGTGCCATAGGGCATGATAACTTGATCAGTCACGTGTATTGATTCGTATCCTATGCCGTGATTAGTCACGTGTATTGACTCGTATCATGTACTGTGTTTAGTCACTCGATACGACTCTTGCCATATGACATGATAAACGTAATCAGTTACGTGTATTGACTTGTATCATGTAATGTGATCAGTCACGTGTATCCACTCGTTTCATGTTATGTGATCAGTCATGTGTATCTACTCATATTATTTAATGTAATCAGTCACGTGTATCTACTCATATTATCTAATGTGATCAGTCACGTGTATCGACTCACGCAATATCACAATTTTACAGGGAAGACTATTAAAATACTGAAATACAATTTATTGTTTAAAGATTTTCTGCATCTGAGAGAGCTAACCAAGATCCATTGGATTTTATGCCGTTTGGGTATGGGCCCCGTAGCTGTATCGCTATGCGACTTGCTTTACTGGAGGCTAAAATGGCTACAGCTGATATCGTGCAAAACTTCAGGTTTAGTGTCGGCAGCAAGACTGATGTACGTATTTTCAAATTTATATGTATAAGTCAACTCTTTATTTATTGGTTTTATTTGATCATGAAATACTGATTCGTCTAGCAATTTTCGCAATGTCTATTTCATCCAGGCGTATAAAAATATATCATAATCCAATATGTTGTAATTTTAAGAATTGATTAAAACAGAAAATACTTCATGTTTACAGATCCCACCGAAAATGAAAGACGAAGATTTATTAAAGCCTAAACATCTGTGGTTGAAGATGGAGGAGATCAAGTGAGAGAGCACATTTGCGCAACAGTGAAGCAACTGGCAGGAAACTGCAATATTATTGCCATCGTACTCAAAGTCACTCCCTTTAAATAATGGAAAACTAGTCTATCAGCCAATTATATGTATTTATATTATATTTAATATACTCATATTTACATTATAATCAGTCAAGAGTGACCACCTACCTACATCTTCACCATTTGCAAGGGTGTTTTCCGTGTGTTTTCCTCCTTTCAATTTGCATCCTAATTAACGAGACCATCATTTCCTGTGCACTTATGTTTTTTTCTCGTTTGTCTTGTGATGTGTAAAATCGTTAGTCAAAACATTTTCGCGTGGAAAAGAATTGTTTATACTGTAAACATTGAAACTTCACCGTTTTCTACAAATAGATTAGTTTGAAACTAAAGGCATCTTATATACATGTAAACACATCTTTGGATATCAGCATTGTTTTCCAAATGACATCACTAAGATCTGCTTTCGAATTCGACCATTTTTTTTTCTTTTTTTCTTTTGAGGATTTTGACTCTTGTTTCTGACACGTTACCAATCTATTTGAGCTTGGATACATTATATATATAGTTTAACGTTTTTAGCTCACCTGCCCGAAGGCCAAGTAAGCTTATGTCATGGTGCAGCGTCTGTCGTCCGTTTGCAACTTTTCATTTAACTAACTTCTTCTGAAGAAAAGACATGCCTAGATTCATGATAATTGGCTGCCAGCTTTGTTGGTAGGAGCCCGACAAAGTTTGAGAACGAAAATGACCTTGACCAACTTTCAAGGTCACAGGGGTCAAATGTGTCAAATACTTCAAACGACTTCTTTTGAAGATACAGTTGTGGGTTCGCACAATGTTACACGATGTGCGGTGTGCGCACGATGTGTGCACGGTGTGTGCACGATGGGCGAACGATAAAAATCTGGACGATCATTGCTTGCTCACATCTGTGCGCACGATGGATGGACGTTGTGCGATAACAATCGTGGTTGGTGTAATTTGAGGAATGCCTGATCAATTTATACGGTTTCGTGTTTAAACATATAAACTTGATGTTTGCGTATGTTTCTATATTCTAGCAACATCTATAAACTTATCTTTCTGTCTATGCATTCTTATATTTAGAAATTGTGTTTTCTGTGTTTTTAAACAAACTTAATCGACACACGTATAATTGCAACACAATCCCGTATACAGGTAAACATAACCACTTTGTACATGTCCCTGGACCGTAGTTTTCTCCCCGCCTGTGGCACTTACGTAACTCGTCGGGTTAGGCCGGGTGTGTGAAAATCCAGGTGAAGGGGAGCTATAGGAAAACGAATGCAAATAACAAATACTATTCATTACGGTCAAACGGTATCGCATATCAGCTCTGTGTGTCAGCAACTGGTCAGGTAAAACTCCGGACACTCACACAATTGTTATTTACCTGTTCTGTTACCTTGGAGCCAAACCCATTCTTGACCGCCTAGCGGTCGCTGTAATACTGTGTAACACGCATTGTGAAATTGTATAATATTGATTATTGTGATGAGAAATTACACATATATACACAGTGAACATTATCGCATACAAGCCTTCCGTACTTTTGTCATTCCGTAATTCTGATCTACAAATTATACCAAATCGCACAGTTGTGCGGAGAGAAGCGCACAACGGGGCGAACGATTGCTAAATCGCACAGCTGTGCGCACAATGTGTGGACGATGTGCGGACGGTGTGTGAACGATGTATGCATGGTGTGCGCACGCTATTTTTGGTGCGTTGTGCGGTCCCACAACTGTATGAAAGATATTGAATCTTCATGTTTGGCTTATAACTTCTTGGAATAGAGCCCGACAAAGTTTGAAAATGAAAATGACTTTGACATACTTGCAAGGTCACTGGGGTCAAATATGTCAAACGATTTCTTCTTGAGAACCGAAAGATAAAGAATCTCCATTTTTGGCTGGTATGTTCTTGGGATGGAGCCCGACAAAGGTTAGGAAGGAGAATTAACTTGACCTACTTTCAACGTCACAGTGGTCAAATATGTCAAACATTTTAAACAACTTCTGAAGAAGAATAAAAGAAAGCATAGAATCATACTATTTGGCTGGAAGCTTCAACGGATTGAGCCGACACAGTTTGGGATTGAACTATTTGTAGTACAGTAAATTTTAAACAAGAATATTTTCCTATTACTGCTTAAACATTCAGGTGAGCGATACAGACACTCTGGGCCTCTTGTTTTTAAGCTTTTTCACTTTGAACTTGTTCTGTATAGCTTAGGTACGTTTGATATGAAGTTTGATTTGTAACCCATAAATTTCTCCTATGCATTTTTGAGGTTTGATATGTAAACTGTAGGTTTCTCAAATGCACAATATGAAGTTTGATATGTAAACTCTAGGTTTCTCTTGTGCATTTTATGAAATTTGATATGTAGACTTTAGGTTTCACCTATGCACTTTATGAAGTTTGATATGTAGACTTTAGGTTTCTCCTATGCACTTTATGAAGTTTAATATGTAAACTGCATCTGCGCTAGCCAAGTGTTCGCTTCGTATACACTTCACTCACCTATGGCGGATATAGCCGTGTTTTCATAATATCCGCCACTGCCATCTAGCGGATATACCGAGTTATCGCTTTTCTTCCAATATTTTTTAACCAATCAGAATGACCGTTACATACACACTCCATCGGCGTGTTGACATAAGCACGTGTTATCATCATCATTCAAATGATATGATCATCATATTTATCATCATCATACACTCATCGTTATCAAACAATCATCATATACAATGTAAATGTAATGTAATCTCAGAGCTATTCGTATCAACAGCAACCAAACTAATAACTCTATAATTTCATTATCAACTCAGCATCACCACTCTATACAATAAATGTCATCATCTGTACAGTCATTTAGCTCAGAACATCATTATCAACTCAGCATCACCACTCTATACAATATATGTCATCATCTGTACAGTCATTTAGCTCAGCACATCATTATCACACTCAGCATCACCACTCTATACAATAAATATCATCATCTGTACAGTCATTTAGCTCAGCACATCATTATCAACTCAGCATCACCACTCTATACAATAAATATCATCATATGTACAGTCATTTAGCTCAGCACATCATTATCAACTCAGCATCACCACTCTATACAATAAATGACATCATCTGTACAGTCATTTAGCTCAGCACAACATTATCAACTCAGCATCACCACTCTAAACAATAAATGTCATCATCTGTACAGTCATTGAGCTCAGCACATCATTATCACACTCAGCATCACCCCTCTATACAATAAATCTCATCATCTGCACAGCCATTTAGCTCAGAACATCATTATCAACTCAGCATCATCACTCTATACAATAAATGACATCATCTGTACAGACATTTAGCTCAGCACATCATTATAAACTCAGCATCACCACTCTACAATAAATGACATCATCTGTACAGTCATTTAGCTTAGCACATCATTATCAACTCAGCCTCACCACTCTATACAATAAATATCATCATATGTACAGTCATCTAGCTCAGCACATCATTATCACACTCAGCATCACCCCTCTATACAATAAATATCATCATCCGTACAGTCATTTAGCTCAGCACAACATTATCAAACTCAGCATCACCACTCTATTCAATAAATATCATCATATGTACAGTCATTTAGCTCACCACATCATTATCAACTCAGCATCACCCCTCTATACAATAAATATCATCATCCGTACAGTCATTTAGCTCAGCACATCATTATAAACTCAGCATCACCACTCTACAATAAATGTCATCATCTGCACAGTCATTTAGCTCAGCACAACATTATCAACTCAGCATCACCCCTCTATACAATAAATATCATCATATGTACAGTCATTTAGCTCACCACATCATTATCAACTCAGCATCCCCACTCTATACAATAAATGTCATCATCTTTACAGTAATTTAGCTCAGCACATCATTATAAACTCAGCATCACCACTCTACAATAAATGACATCATCTGTACAGTCATTTAGCTTAGCACATCATTATCAACTCAGCAGCACCACTCTATACAATAAATGTCACCATCTGTACATTCATTTAGCTCAGCACATCATTATAAACTCAGCATCACCACTCTACAATAAATGACATCATCTGTACAGTCATTTAGCTCAGCACATCATTATCACACTCAACAATTCAACAACATTCATTTTCATAACGAGGAATATCAGCATAACATTTTGTTTCTTTTTAATATCCTATTACATGTATAACAAAATGTACAACGACAATATTTTTATACATATAACTACATGGACACTTGATTACAGAACCAAAGCATACACTGCTCTTAATCTAAAAAGCATCGAGAGTTGTACCCACTCCTTTACGCTTTCACTCGCACACACTCACATACACTCTATCTACAAACAGATACAATTCCTGCAATTGCTATATCTGATATATATAATATTGTTGAAAAGGAAGGAAAAACAAGAAAGTAGAAAAGAACAAGAAAAGAAATGATAGGCATAGATATATGTTGCTAAAATATTATATTAATGAATTCTAGGGATTGATACATGAGATAGGGATTATTATTTATATCTAATCTAGAAGCTCTATTAGCCGCATCCATTTCTTCCAATATGCCGTAAATCTCTGCAATAAGAGTGTTGTTATTCAACTTTCTATTGTTACATCTAGAACTGTAAATAAATTGCTTAATTATTAAAAGAATTTCGTTGTCGATCTTATTTAATCATTTTGTTTTCGTAAACAATCCTAGTATGAAAGTGATTTTATTTTATTGAAGAGAAACTAGCAATGCATCGAAAAGAGATTCAAAATTTTGCAAAAAAAGACTGAACTTCTTCGCATTCCGATAGTTTCTTCAACTTGATTACAGAAAATACATTGAGGATTATCTAAGATACCCACTTATTTTTTTTTTAAATGTTGTCAGTATATGATGTGAAATTCGAAACTGAAGCCATTGTAGCTTTGTATTAGAAGTAACTTAAAAATGGATTTGATGTATTCGTTTCCAGTACTGGTCATTGATATCAAGTCCAATATTCCATTTAACCTTTCCAATTGGAATTATTTTCTATTTACCAGTGTATTGTAAAACCTTTTGAATCTTTAGCAGATAAAATAAAACTCCAAATTTAACGGAATATATGGAAAAGAAATTTCGAAAAGGGCATGTCATTTCCTGCTAAAAAGTGTCTTACTGCAGCCATAACATAATCGAAAGTTAGAATATCTGTTTGAAATAAATATATAAACGCATGAAAAAGGAGTTTTCTTTCTTGACTAAATCACTGATTACAATTAACCCTTTGTTGTACCATTCTCTATAAAAAAAACACTGACCCTCTATTAACACATATTTGTCTATTAAACCATATTGGAGTTTTGTAACATATTTCCCTTGTCCAAATGGGTTTTTCTTCTCAGCCTTTCTTAGTCTTTCCAATGCCTTCAGGATATCTTTCCAGAACTGGTTATTGCATCAATCATAACATGTTTGTAAAACGTCATCACCAACATTAACAAGTAGGTTAATGTCTACAATAGACTTAATAACAAACTGCCATTTATCTTCACTTAGTAAAAGTCTCTTGAC